TTGCAGTATATGAGTATACGACTTCATATTCGCTTAAAATAGAAAGGTTATGATTACAAATGTTTAGTGCCATTTCCAGTTTACCATTACGTGCTTAGTCTCACGGAACAGTAAGCTTTCCATTCTCTAAAAATATTGGTACTACAAAAACTGATTGCCAGTTCCACGCAAAAAACTATGCGTGCTCCTTGATTGATATGTGGTGTTTAACGTCCCGAAGCTAGACCACGATTATGAAAGACGCCGTAGCAGAGGGCTCCTGAAATATTGACCACGTGAGGTTTTTCGCCGATCCCCTGAACCTGAGCCCACGGGCCTACAGTATTTTCGCCTCTATCGAAAATGCAGCCGCCACAGCAGTGATTCGATCCCGCGACCTGCTGGTCAACAGCCGAGTATCTTGGCCGCTAGACCACTGCCGAGGGGCGCGCCTGCCCCCTTCATACCTTCAAAGTGAAAATTTCTCCCCTGTGCGTTGCCTGGTTTCACACGTCCATATTTCCCTTGTAAACAATGTGCCATTACGACCGCGCACGTCTATGTCTCGGATATTCTACCGTTTAAACGCACAGTAAACCATAGCCTGGTGTGGTTTAATGAGAATTTAGTGCACATACATATGTATTTAGTGCACATACATCGGAGCAGAAATCTGGAGACTTACAAAGAGGGTTCAGCTTAAATTGAGGACGACGAAGCGAGCAATGGGAAAAAAATGGTTGGTGTAACCTTAAGGGACAAGAAGAGAGCAGAGTGGATCAGGGAACAAACAAGGGTTAAGGATATCATAGCTGAAATCAAGAAGAAGAAATGGACATGGGCCGGGCATGTAGCGCGTAGACAGGATAACCGCTGGTCGTTAAGGGTAACTAACTGGATTCCAAGAGAAGGCAAGCGGGTTAGGGGGAGACAGAAGGTTAGGTGGGCAGATGAGACTAAAAGTTTGCGGGTATAAACTGGCAGCAGCAAGCACAGGACCGGGTTAACTGGCGGAACATGAGAGAAGCCATTGTCCTGCAGTATACGTAGTCAGGCTGATGATGATGATGACTTATGTAAGGTTTCAGGAGGCTTTTGAAATGGCTCTCATGATTCCAAATAACGCACCAGGTGTGGTCAATTTTTTGCGAGTACACGGCTGGCCTCCAGGACTCGCCCACTGTACTGCACTTGGGCCCCACAAAGAAGTTGTAGCGGACAAAAAAAAAGAAAACCAAAAAATCGTAGCCGCCAGTACTGAAATATTACGGCGTAGTATTCAAAGGCGGCCAAGCCTTGGCGGTATCGGCTGGAATGACATAAATGATGGATCAATCTGCTGAAGACAGCGTCGATACGTTACTATGCCGATGTCATGGCCCGATGCAGCGCAAAGGTACCGTATGCTTCCGCTTGAGCTTTAGTTTGCCCAATAAAATTCGTTGGACGAATGGGCATCCCTTAATGCGTAGCAGGTTAGGGGCCAAGCTTGTCGCAAGTCATGCCGTGTGGTCCTGCAGTGAACAAATAGCGGAAATCTAACAATACCTAAAACCAGTAAAATAAACTAACAAAGTTTAAAGTATTACGTACTGCTGCAATAGGAAACAATTCATCGTGATAATCTAGCTGAACTCACGATGAACGCTTCAGAAACGTCCGCTGAAAACCGTGTGGCGTGGGAAAGGGCTCCCCGGCTACGGCAAGTTTGCGAAAGCGTAGGGAACCACAGGTTGCCCGTGCTTTGCATTTTGTCAGGTTCGCGATAATAGACCTGCATTCATCTCGGTATTTAGAACTACACCAAGATCCACACTAGAACGAGAGTCCTTCAATAATTTTGTTGGTTATGAACCTTCAGCGAAAGTTTCATATAGAGACAGCTAGGGAGCTACCGCTTGAGACGCCCTCGCCCCCGGTGGCGCATTGGAGCAGCGCGGCGCTGCTGTTGTACGAGAGGTGCCGGAGCTGCAAAATGATATTAAATGCAGCCGTGAAGGTTGAATACGTCTTCAGAGTGATGTTAGCTTCAGAAAATTCGGAAATGCTCTAGTACAGCGAAAGTTAGCGTCGAATGAGGCCTTAAAGCTAGCAATTCGACGGCATGCTGATTCCACTGTAAAATATATGCTACCGCTATAAAAGCATTCTTATTTTAGGGGCGAAGCTCCTCTTAGTCTAACCTTGTCATGTGTCAAGCGAACCCGAGAAAACAAGAGGGGAGAAATAAAAGAAGGCAGTACCTTCCGTCAGTATAATAGACGACGCTGTCTCATAGAAGTACATACAATTTGCAGTTGAGTGAGGATATTCTAGATGGCACTGTACCGCTACTCTCCGATTGGCTACTCCGCGGTCTGTGCCTGGGTACGCGAAGACCGAGTGCCTCTCCGAGTCTCCCGGATAGTCGCCGTGCGTGACGGACTGTTGGTGGGGAATGGACGAAGCTCAGCGGCGAGCACGTTGAAGACGCTTGCGTTTGGCTTACCTAGCTCGCGTCTCGTCGGTGCTACCCGCGCGCAGTCTGCGTTCTCGAACGTGATCGTACGCATTGACGCATGCACGGATGGATGGACACACGGACGGATGGATGAACGAACGCTTGGCCCCACTCATCATCATTCAATGCGTGGATATGCTGTGGATTTCATTCTTAAGCATCTATTAAACTTTGGTGTAAAACCGGAGTTCAGTGACCCTGGTGGCTCTTAACACGTCACGGAAAAGGAGTGGTTGCAACTTTTGACAGCGCATATCAACCCTTCTAGGCTGTATACGCACATTTGGTGTTACTATATACGAAGATATATATCTTAAAAATGTCTTGAACTTATTAAACCGACGGCCACTTTGAATGAAGCAATGCTGTTATTTAAAAAGTGATAAGGATCAATCAACACTTCATAAGATGTTTCCCTCGTTTTCGTGTTTTGTTGTGCGTTGATTTATCACTGCCGTAACGCGTTTAAGTTTGGTTGGCCATGCAATGTAGTTTCTCGGTCCTTTACTCAGCTATGCAGCTTACTTGTGCTGTGTTTTGCCTGTCCTTCTTTATTCTTTTTACTGTAAAAGCGAAACGCTTACATACCTTCTCAATCGTGAAAATTGATGGATTGCGTGCCACGCTGGAGACGTCAACATGTGACACAAAAGTTATCTTCTCGTGCTCATGACGCATTGTTATTGAAAATTAACTTTTACCGCTTGTACAGCTTGCGCAAGTATTGTATAGCATTGTGCTGCAATCTCTTTTGCGTCTTCACCCTTTGAAACATCTATTGGTAGCACTGAAGTCTCTGTTGCATGCAACAGATGTGTGCTTTGATTTCTTCAAGCTTTGAGGAGCGGCTCCGCCGGCATATCACCTCTTCACTTTTGGTCATTTCAGTGGTTGCATAAACGAAAACGGTGAGCATTTCAATAATCAGGATTCCGTATTACCTACTGTCATGGAACGAGGAAGAGGCGGCTTGTATGCTCACTTACATTAAATGCGTCATTATCCATTGCAGTTATGTCATGAGGGCTCGTGCACAGTCCATTGTAGTCTCAACAGTATCTAGCTTGCTGACGGTTCCCGTAGACGCTTGTAGGCAGGCCTGCTCTGAATCTTTTTGCCCTATACAAATACGCTGTGCGGCTATAAAAAATTCTCGGCACAGCGTCGGCAAACGTTTCGGAACATCGCGCAGTGACTTCACTACAACACCTCCGATTAGTCACTAATCCACACCAACGATGTCACTTTCATCGAAGTGCTTTTCGCACAGGTACACATTTAGGGTAACAAAAGTGAAACTACCAGTTTATTGTCACGGCATTGCGTGCTTACACTTTTCCCGCCGATTACTGTAGGCAGCGAGAACTCGGAGACTTTTTCGTCATTTCTTTTGTAACCAGATCGGCAACCAGGTAACCAGCAGTTCACGGTATCCTTCTATATATTCAGGCACAGCACACCAGTAATCATGCTGTGAAAAACTACGGGACGGCACGCCATGATATTATGCATTGATCACTTAGCGGACCCAGCAGCCAGCTTCCCTTTTGTCTGCCCGATGGATGGATGGATGGATATGGCTGCACCCTTTAGATCGGGCGGTGGCTAGCGCCACCAAGCCGTAATACTTAATGAACCAAGAACTAGATTTTTTTTTTTTTCTTAAATAGTGAGGTTGAGGATTTGTACCTTGCAGCGAAGGGTTCAACTTTCACTCGTGCCTTGACTTTAGCCACCAATCAGATAACCTCCTTCTAGTTAATTCTACGCGCTTAAAGTCTATTTTGCCCTCCCTCTCCCTAAACCCCAGTGCTTTGAAAAACTCTGCGCCATCAACCTGAACTACGAGGTGAAGCCCTTTACAGAACATTATCAAGTGTTCGGCAGTTTCTTCTTCCTCTCCACACGCACTGCCCCGCGCGGTGATGCAGTGCCACCCCGCGGCCTCCGCTCACAGCGCACAAAATAGCGTTACGGCGAAGATTCACAACCAGTAAATGTTTTGAAGAACTCCGCTTGAGTGGCAGTCACACAGTATTCTTTGGGGGCTTTTGAAGAACACCAATACTTACACAGAAACTACGTTAGCGCTTCATTGACTTAGATGTGCTTGATTAGAGCAGAATTTTCTTTTCTTTGTACATCTAACGCTCTATGTTTAGCCCTTTTACAAGCAATGGGAGCTAACTCTCACATATCTGCCATAGTTTGGAGTAACGTTTACTAATGCCTTGTTTTGTGGAAGTCTCTAATGTCAAGTACGTCTTTGCAACAATTACAATCATCGTCATTTCAGTGCGCTAATAAAGACTCCAAGCACAGTACTCCGAAACACTGACCAATATCTAAGGGTTAGGATGATCAATACGAAAATTGTATCGTACTATTTCACCCCATCGCCACCCCGAACTTTTTAATAAAGTAGTAGTTTTTTAGGGTAGTAAACTGTTACGGCTCAACCTCTGCCTCTTTTTTTCTGTGTCTGTGTCTAATACTCTGTGACAAAGAACGACACAGACACTCACTGCAAAATAACATGTCTCAAATCAGGGACTCATTTTTATTCATAAAAAAACGACATAGCTCTGGTATTCAAAAACAAAGGAACTCTCTTGCTTAAAACAAACGTAAGTATTAACGCGCAAAAGCGGGGGGCACTGCCGGTAACATCAACTATCAAATAAATAAACAGAGCAGTTGATATCAGGCACAACACAGCAGTCAACAACAAATAACAGAATGTCTCGGAAGGAAAATTCAAACGACCCGGAAGTCGTCACTCGTGAAAACGTACGGGGCCGATGCATCTCGTATGCGACCTTTTCACTTGCAGAGGCACTTGCTGGTCGTTCTTCACAGTCCGATGCACAACGGGAAAAAGGCTTGAGTTACCGGCGATCAAAGTTCAGGTCACTTCTATGAAGACAGCACAGCGCAAACAGCGAGTATCACAAGCAATGACTGGGAAGTGCAGCCGGCACGCGAAGCCCATCCAAGCAGTCTCTCACGCGAAGCTCTCCTTGTAGAAGGCGAATCTGTGGCCCGCCAGGGTGGCGATGTGACAGTGCTTCTTGATTTCCTTGTTAAGCGAAGCCGGCCCGCACGAAAAGACGGCCACCTTTTGCCTGGGAATTGACGCGAAAGTGTTTATTTTTATTTATGCATACTGCAAAGTTGCGCGAAATTCTGGCAATAAAGCTCCTTCTGCCACATTTGTTGAACGACATATATAGTGACAGGCCACACAGGTAATGACAAAAGAAAAGCGCTGTGGCTGTGAAATATCGTTAGGCCATTGGAAGCTTACCTGTCCCGAAGCAAATCAACGTAGCGTTGTTGTTAGTTTTTATGGATTACAGCCTAATAATGGGGTGCGGCTGTCCTAAAAATATGTAACCTAAGTAAGACATCAACTGTCCGAAGTTTGTGAAAATTCGGCTGTGAGTTTTGTTTATGTAATTGTTTTTTTAATAATTGACGAAATTGCACAACAAAGAAATACAATGGCTATAATTCAAAGATTCTAGACAACCTATCTTTTTTTTTGGAAATCACTGTTTCTTGAACGTGCATGCCTTATTATTATACCGGAGATTTCTTTCACCTATGTAGACATTACCATGCTGCGACCAGTTCTGCCGAGGATTGAGCATGCGACGTTGTGCTAAAAAGCTGGTAACGGCAGCTCGATGACGCCTAACAAAATATTAACACTGGAGAAAATTAACTAAAAAAATAGAAGTAACCTACAATGTGGGCAACTATGACGCACAGAATCAGCCAAAACGGAATGGAGGCTTAAATCAATCAATGTTTCGGTGCTCTGCAGCCGAAATATGTGGAAGAAGAGGTGAATAACGTTTAATGCTGTCCTTTCTGCGCAAGCGTGACTTTTCAAGTCGCGCAGCCGAGGCTGGGGTCTCATTTTGTTACATTCGAAGCGGCCGTAAATCACACCGTGATCACCCAATTGCTCCACCTAGTAGCATATTCAACTCGCAGGCACATATTCTGGCGAAGGGCTTATTCCCAATTACGAACAGACGCATATACATTGAACAGAATTAAAGGGGCGATCCTAACTGAAGCAAAAGATATCAAATACCTAAGCATTCGCCTTGCACATGAACTGGTTAGTACAGGTTGATAATGTTTATAATAGAGCCATGCGCAAACTTCGGTCGTTGCGATCAAAACTGCACAATGCCACTCCAGAGGCTAATGAAATGGCACATAAAATGATTATTCTTCCAGCGCTGACCTGCGCAAGTCATATATGGGAACCTTACACTAAAGCTAACACATTAAAATGTGAGCGTATACAACCCGGACAACATTCGATGTCCTGAGGTCGTCCTCATATAGTACAATAGTCCTCGCACAGTTCTCATTGATCTCAGTGCTTACTGAGGACGACACAAGCTGGTTTGATCCGGAAACGTCTGTTCGAGTGCTTTTTGAGGACAACAATTGGTCCGGAAAAGGTCCTGTCAAAGAGCTTTTGGTGATCAAGGATCAGTGCAATGCTTTTTACAAAAGCATTGCACTGAGCACTTAGATATAATTCCTCAAAACCTTTGTGCATCAAGTAAATGCATTTCATATGTGAAAACTTTCTCCACGCGTTTGTTTCATACAGTCATAAAGTTATTGTATATTTTCACCTCGTTTGTTTCTTTTTTGGCAGAAAATTTTCAAATTACGCATTACGCTTAATGAGACATGCGTACTTAATCATATTGGGTATCGAACCTGGTATTGTAAAATGTACATTTGAAACAGTGTGTTCTTAAATGCCACAGCCTTGAATTAGTCATTATACGCCGCTGTAGCGCGTAATAACAAACTAGCAGCTGGCAACCACTAATCATTCTGAATAGTCAAGTAGCCAAGCCATTCCAAGCCAACTGATTGTCAAAATGGGGTCTGTCAGAAAAGGTGCTGTGCACTAGTGAAGGTGCGTGTCTTTGTTGTTTGTGAGCATGGTTGAAAGTGAGATATGTGTGAGAGTTTAAGTCGTAGGTGACGACAGGAGGTGAATTGCCGTGTTGATGGGTGCACTGAGCTGCTCAACGTTCAGACTGATCATGGATGTATTGTCACCAGCCGACCGCGGCGAGGTGTGATACGAAGCAGCCTGGAACACCAGCGAATCGCGATCAATTGTGCTTGAGAGCAGCTTGGTCTCAACGTGAAAGGATCGACTTCTGCATCTGACACATGGCCCAACCTCGGGAAAGTACTGGTAGGCTGTCATAGCGGAGTCTCTAACACTAGTGAGTGCATTGGGCATGATACACGTGGTGATGAGGACACTGTGTCAAACTTTTGAGGAAGGGTACAAACGTGATTGATCGAGCTGTGTTGACTGCCTTGATACCGTTTTTCTTTTTTTCAGACTACACGTGGACTCGAATGCCTGACAAAGCTGTCAGTTGCGATTAATTACTGTTAAATAAATTTCACTCAATAGGCTTTGTTTGTTTTGTCACCTCTCTTGATTCATACAGTATATATACATGAGACCTCGCAGGTGTTTTTCTTTTGATGTATAGAAATATCATGAAAACAAGTAAATCCTAAGTAGTATCACTGCCCACAGTATAGAACCGGCCACACAATCGTTCTTCCGAAAAGATACTGAAAAAGTCCTGAAGTGTTGTTTTGAAGATGTACTGAAGTTGTTATGTGTATGGACAAGGAGACGGGATTAGTGCCATTCTAGTACCTTAAGAGGACATTCTGAGGGCGTCATATTGTCCTCACGGAGGCATACTGACAACGTCCTGAGGTTGTGTTTGTGTTGTCTGGGAAGATAAAGCCTTACGGTTCATTTCAAACTTGTATTGAAGAACACAGTCTATCAGCAAGCTCAGAGAGAAAATTGAAATAATGACGGTGAAACTAAAATTGCAACTTAATCGACTGATATTCTTTTTTCGCATACTGAACAGAGATTTCAGGGTTAGCCTAGATGAACACATCGTACTAGAGAAAACTACTTCATCCATGACAAAAAATTTGAAACATATTACACCAATCAACTACAGAACATATTTATTCAACCAGTCTTTCTTTAGTTCGGAGTATTAATGATTAGAATCGGTTACCTCAAAACATAGTCGAATGTTCCAATCTACAAAGTTTTGAAAAGGCTTTGTCTGAATAGTTGTGAACAATTTGTATTGCTTTAGCATTTGTTCACCCTTCAAATGTCTTGTTTTCGGTTACCCGTTGCCTGAACATGTTCAATGCACTATTTCTTTGGTGACGTATACGGGATGTATTCGAACCTGTTATTTTATATATACCAGTGAGCTGTACGGAATGCTTTCTAATAGGATTTTGTATTTTTGTTTTCCTATTTTGATACGTTGTGTGATTCTTGATTGTTCCGTGTTAAAATTGTTTTAGCATGTACTACGTTTGTACATGAGAGTTATGTAGCCCCAACTCCTGTATTGGCTTATGTGCTGACAATATGAAAAAAATATAAAAATAAAAACTTGCCCCAAGTGAAATAATAGGTCAAGACACACAGCTATTATAAAATCACTTTCATACAATCACGAATTCCTTAGCGCAAAACGCACTCACAGTCAGAGTACTCGGGTAATCATTATTTCCACTTTAGACTGCAGCAAAACACATAGCCAGGAATTAGGTGCACAATTACAAGACGTCTATTTTTGCATACATAGTATTGCCCAGTGTGTAGTTTGCGTGAGCACATTCATTTTGAAACCACGCAGTATGCCGCATAGTGTGCTCTGTGGCGGAAGTCGTGTACTTAGCTAATAATTTCTACAATAGGTCTGGTAAGCTGTCCTTCATGCCCGCTGTGAAGGACACTTTTCGGTGTATGTCTAGCCAGGTTTCGTCAGGGGTATCGAATTCAGTGTACGGTTACCATAGTTCAAACTTCATCATTCAGTCAAGCGGTTCTAGCAATGTTGTAAACTCATTGGAGATCTGAGCACGTAGACCAGGGGTCTCAACCACGCGGCCTCCCAACCTCTCGTTTGCGGCCCGCAGCCTGCACATGATTGTCTTCGCGCCACATTAAATTATCTTAATAAGTATATTATTCATATGCACAAGCATCACTGATTCAAAGCATTGTTTCAGCGAAGGACTCTGTGTGGTCACCATGTGTTCAAATATAACCGTGAAAAAAAATTGTATTTCAGCGTCCACGTACAGATTATAGAAGTTTTGGAGATCGGCATAGAGATCTTAAAATACTGGCGTCAAATTACCTTCAATAGTGAGCCACATAATTATATATGAGATCTGAATAAAGGTGTGGTATCAGAAAAGTGGCCGCGTGTGCTGACAATCAGTAATAATTACCCCTATCCTTTCCACTTCAACATCCTTCGCGGCCCCGGCCCTTGCGAGAGTAAATTGCGTGACAGCGGCCTGCAGGCTGAGGAGAGCTTGAGACCCATGATGTAGACCGAGCCTCGTAAGTAGCTTCCTCCGCTTAAATTATTCAGTGTTTAGAGAAGTTGTCCGAAAGGCCTAATTCAAGGGCGCCGCTGGTATCGGATACAAACAGTGTCCTATACAAAAAAAAGAAAACAGAAAGAAAGTGGGCAAAGAAGTACACTCCACATTGTAGTTCGAACGGTAGAGCACCCAACGCACGATTTGAAGGTTGCTGGTGCGAACCCCACGGACAGAGAGCTGAATTTCTAGATTACTTTGTTTCAATGTAAGTGAGAAACTTATAATACAGTTTAGAAACCACCAATAATTCCCGCCGATGTTTTCCTTGGCCTAATCGTCTGCCTGTTACATTATTTAGGTGATCATGTGTTCCTGCGCGTCTCGGTTTTCATTGAATGAGGTGCGCACAACAGTACAGTCACTGTCTGAACTAAGACTTCCCGGTTGAAGGATGGTGATATGAACGAATGATTAATTATTAAATCGTGTACCGAGGTGTGCATTTTCTTTTATTCACTTAATCGACTAAACTTTTGCGAATAATCAATTCTCATACAATCCAACATGGTCCCCATGACTCGGACATGGTAAATGAGTGAGGGCATATTTTGCACAGAGTGTTTTTTCGAGTTCTAAGTAATGATGCAGCCATCACATTTCAGGCTCTTTTGCA